CCGTTTATAAAGAATTGAAAAAATCTATGTTTTTTTGATTTCTTTGGATACAATTTTAGATGTCTATTGTAATTTTGATCGGTTCTCTCAACTCACCAAATCAACAAGTTTCAATTATTTATAACCAATATATTTTGTCCAAAGTAAATAAAAAATATTTAAAAGCAAAAATTACATTATAATTAAAAAAAGAAATACTTATAAGATAAAAAATAACTTTTGTGTAAAAAATTGTTTATAAGGTAAAAATACTACTAATAATACTAAACAATTACATATAAAATATAAAAAAGTTTTTTATAAGTAAAAAATTTACTTGTGTAAAATTTATTTAAAAGTACAAAATTAACTTACAATTAAAAATCGATACTAAAATTACTCAAATTCGATATTGCTTAAAATCTTAAAATCGGTAATTTAAAAATATTAATAGTCAGTACCTCGAAACTTCCAAGCAGACCGTTAACTAATCTCTAGCTTCTTCTTCCTTCATGCTCAAGAAATCCAAGTTGATGCCAAACTTAAGTGAGAATTCTAAGTTTTCGCCTCTCAAAAAATCTCCCTAAAAATTGCGCTCTTCAAGATTCGGAGTTGTCTTTGCATTTGAGACCCTAAAAATATAAATGTTTTACTGTTAGCCCCCATTGTATTGATATATTGGTAAGTTGGTTTCCAATTTTGAAAATGGAGCAAAGTCGCCCTCAACATTTTATTGAAAAGAATAAAAAACCAAAAACACTGGAAAAAGGAAAAAAAATGAAAAGAAAATAACGGAACAGGAAGAAGAAAAAAGTGAAAAACCCAGCCCCTCAAAACCAACTGCCTTCGCCGGCGACCACCACCCCCAACCCTGAAGCAGTGGCGGCGCCATCACCAACCCTACCTTCTCCGCCGCTTTGCTTCATGGAGGTGTGCTCAGTGTAGTAGCTTGTAACAACTGTTGTGGCATTTTTCAGTTTCTTAAATTTTACGCATACCTGAATTAGGCACAGCAGATATGGCAACTCCAAATTTTCTGTTCGGTATCGCAGAGAAATGTTTAACCGTTGGGCTGATAAGCCTCACAGTATCTGACCGATATGTAAGCCTTATCGCCATTCGCGGCTCCTCAATGTCTCCCACTTTCGACCGCCATGACAAAAAATCTGCTGCAATTATGATGGGTAAATTCATATTTTACTGATTGTCTTTACTTTGTGGTATAGATTTGATGCCGATTGGAATGAACAAGAACAATAAAGAAGGAGAGAGTATAAATGAAGAAATGGGAGGAAAGATTATAATGTTTATTCAATATTCAAGTGTAATTCATTACAATCTAGAATCCTCATTTTATAGGTTCTAAAATACATCAAAACGAAATTTGTAACTAATAAGGAAAATTAAGAATTCCTTTTATTGTTACTGGTGCCTGCAGATGACTTTGCATTGGTTGAGAAATTTTGCCTTGAGAAATACAAGTTCTCGCAAGGTGAAGTCGTGGTTTTGCAGTAGTTAAATATCTTGCTTGGCCTTATTATTGATCCTTCTTTTAATCCAGATTATTGTTGATTTTATGCTTTCTTCAGTTTAAAGCAAAAGCTCATATTTGCTGGTTTTTTGTCGGAATTATGGGACATGAATGTTCTTCTTTATGACTTGCTGATTGAATTTAACTACGAATTTAAGCCCATCTAGACCTTTAAACACAAGCAATAATGAAGTTCGCTCTAATGTTGAATTTAGATTGATTTCAAACGCAGTATTGACAATTTTTAATATGATATGCTCTCATTGTCATACTTTACAAAAATAACCTTTCTCTAGATATCAAATATGCTGAAGTTCAATTGATGATATCCAACCAAACAAACGGCATTGTTTGGATTGTTGTTTGCTGGATCGATAGCCACATAACTAAATGCTTAAAACAAATTACCAGTATCCTTTAAATTGTGTTGATAGAAAATAAATTCTATTACCATCATTGATAATAGCGAAAATTTGTCGATTCTCGCTTACGAAGATATCAAATGGGCTATCGAGATGTGTTCCCTGATCTGTTATTTTTTCCTATGAACATAAACAGAAATTCAATCTCCCCACTTAACTGATTTGTGACTGATCCTTGATTTTATTCCTTTCAGTAATTTAATGAATTTCTCTGCCTTACTTAGAGAAAAAATTCTGTTAGAGAAATTAAATGCTAACATCTAACAATGAAGTTGGTAGACAACAGTTCAGGATAATTAAG